TCCTTGTCGTGGCAGGAGCCGGGCTTCCCGACCCCCAACGGCACGGAGTACGAGGTCAAGTACTACGAGAAGGTAAGCTCTGGGGGCCGGCTCAGCGCTCGGCTGTGCCCTGGCCGACTGCGGGGTGTCCCTCGGGAGCGCGGTGCTGCGTGTGCCGCTGGTGACGGTGACGGTGACGGTCAGCCAGCTGCTGCGTGACGATTGAGCGGTGGGAGAGGGAGGGCGTGCGTGTCTGCGGACGGTGCTGGTGTGAAGATTTTGCTGGCAGCTGGAAGAGGAGTGCTTCAAATGGGGGCCAATAAGGTCTTTTCTCCTCTGACAGTGTTATGTAATCTGCTTATGCAAGTTATAGGAAATTTGGATTATTTGTAGAGTTTATGTTAATTAGTGTTTTTTTTCCCCCCATCTGTGCAGCAAGATTTCATCCAGTCCTAATGTTGACATATCCCTGGGAGAAAGAGTAAAGCTAATAATTTTCATTGATTCATCCTTTTTTTTTTTTTTTTATTTAATGCATTGGATGGCTTTTTTCAAGGACATCAGATATCTGAGGTTTGGGTGCTCGCCATTAGCCAGCTAGACAGGGACCGCTAAACCATATGGGACTTCTAAATCTGTGATGAGATGACACCTATATTCATAGCCTGCTCTCTGGGGAAGTGTTGGACCTTGTGGCCTTCACTGGTTTAGGACTGAGGGCCACCAAACCCGTGACTTCAGTGAGCTGTGAGTGGTCTTCCACACAGGAGGGGACAAAAGCAAATGCTTCTGTGACAGTCTCCTAATTTTAAAAACAGCTGCTGTATTTGACGGGTGCAGTGAGTTGAGAATTTTAGAAGAAATACTGCTGGGCAGAGAGCAGGGACAATGCTCTAAATCAAAATAAATGCAGTTTATGACACAGTTCCGCAAATTACCTTATCTGCGTGTGCTCAGGCTCGTTATGAAACTGATTACATGTCAGGCAAACTGTGCAGGTGACGTGTTGGTGCTCTGTATTTAGAAACAAGCTACCTTGAAGCTGATTCATATTAATGTGATTTTCAGCATGTGATAGATTTGAAAGGAGGAATCTGTGGGTGAGGGCGAACGCTGAAGCCCGAGACAGTAATTCCTGTGCAAATGGGCTGCAGCAACAAGATACTGAGGGTACGAGAAATGAGGAAACGTCCTGCTTGGGTGGGGAACTCTAATGATAGACTGGAATGAGGCTCTTGATGCTGACATGAAAATCAAGTTAGTTCCTAATCTTCGCTTTTAAAGACTTACTTTAACTATGGAGATTCAAGGGGAAATGCGTATCAAATGGAAAATACGTTTCCCAGCGGTGTCCCGGGCCCTGGGAGCAGCGCGATGAACGGCCGCTGCCTGCGCCAGTGCTGGGTCGCGGGGCCGGGATGCTCCCCAGGGCTGGTCCCTGGGCACAGCAAGGGTGCATCCTCAGTGCTGCTGTGGCACGGGAGAGCGGGGCCAGTGGCCCAGCGGTCCCACCGGCCGCCTGGCCGGGCAGAGCCTGCCCTGCCTTCACCGCCTCCAGCAGCGGCTGCAGGAGGGGGGCTGCCCGTCCCGCTCTCCCTTAGTGGAAGCAGAGGGATCTGTAGGTCGCTGGGCAAGTGAATAAAATCCCAGGGCACAGGACTGTTGGCGAACCCACCTGCCGGCTCTGCTTACTCAGCACGTGCTAATACACGCGTATTTGCGCCAGTGCTCGAGCGGTGGCAGTGGGAAGGGGCCGGACGGTGCCAGCGGCAGCGGGGGGCAGGCGGGCAGGAGAGGGGCCGTGCGGGACGGCACAGCCGCTCCCCACTTCCTCATCCTCCGCCTGTATTCATAGCACGTCATCAGGCTCCATCTGCCACTTCACGTGACCTTTCTGTGTAATTTCTATTAATGAGACATCTAGTAAACGTATTCTTTCTGGTGAAGGTTTTATGTCTAGGTGGACTGTCCTGATGGGCCCCGGAGGGGAGGCGCAGGTACAGCTGTGCTGTGCTGCTCCGTGGCGCAGCTGCCAGTCTGGCTAGATCCCGGGTATCTCATTATTTCACAGGATCAGAGAGATCAAAGTTACTCAACTGTGAAAACCACATCAACGGCCGTGACGGTGAATAACCTGAAGCCTGGAACCCTCTATATTTTCCAAATCCGAACATCCTCCTCACCGGACTACGGAAACTACAGCCCTAGTATTGAAGTGGAGACGCTGGCGGAGCGTAAGTGTTGGCAAAGCTCGTCGTCTCTTACACACCTGCAAGCGTGGAGCTCAGCTGAGTCGTGGGGACGCTGCTGCTCGCTGCTGCTGCCCCAGATGCTCTTAGTTTCGTGGAGCAGCATCTGTTCCTCTGGTTCTGCTGCTCCGGGTTTAAGAGCAGGTACTTCCCAGAGTGTGCTTTTAATTGCATTTTCCTATTTGAAAATGTAAAAATTTCCTATTTTTAAGAAGGTCGCTGCTGCTGGCCCGCCAGGCCTGGGGGTGTCTGTCCTCACTCCTCTCAGTGCAGCAGCAGTGAGGGCAGCCGGTCCCTGTCTGCTCTCTCGTGCAGAGGCTGGGGACAGAGTCTCTGCTATTTGGCTGAGATTGCCCTAGAAATTGCTTAGCAGAGCCAGTGTGTGACTGCGGGGTTGTTCTGCCTTGGCGTGATGTTAGTGCTGGAACAGATCTCACCAGGTCCCCTTCGTGCGGCCGCCACGCAGGTGCTGGAAGGGAGCTGGCATCGGTCCCTGAGGGCGCGATCCTGCCTGGGTCTGCGGAGCTGTGCGGGCGCTGCGGAGACGGGGTGGCCGGTCGCGCGGGCGCAGAGGAGGCGATGCCGGCTGGGATCCAGCTGGCCTCGGGTGTGTGGCCCGGACAGGAGATGGCTGCTTACCCCCGCTGCTGTCCTGGCTCACGAGGCACTTGGCGTGTTCGCCACTTGGCTGGGTACAGTCGGCCAGCATCAGCGCTGTTTGCTGGGGCTTTTCCTTTTCACAGTCTCCATTCATAGCTATAGTTCAGAAGCATCTTATTTCACTGCCTAACAGAGAGCTTGGAGAGATGGCGCGGCTTCAGCTGAATAACCCGCCCTGGCTAGAAGTGAGAGCCCCGAGATGGCTGGCTCAGTACGGCTCTCACAGATTGTGTTTAACAGGGCTTTAAATTGCATCCGTTTGCCACACAGAAGACATTTTCAGAATGAATTGAAGCCAATAAAAATTTTATATAGAATGTAGCTTTTTAATGCCCCTGTTTGCAAAAGCAGGAAGGGAAGGGATTAATGTGATGAAGGAAAACTATTTGTAAGCTGTAAATGTTAATGTGTCCCTCCGATAAGCAGGAACCTTTCCTCAGCGCCAACACAACAGGCTCCTGGTGTGGCACCACTGGGGCTGCTCCATCCGTGCCCGCAGTGCTGCCCTGCGCCTTGGTCTGATTGCACCGCCTCGAGCTCTTAAAACGGAACCAGAATGTGAATTGTTGTGAGGGTGTTGAAAAGTAGCCTGGAACTGTGGGTGAACCACCCCACAGCCTTGCTGGAGGACGCAGGGCGGCACTGGGAGCAGTGGCCGGGGCTGCCCCATGCCGTGGTCTCCCCCCGGGGCATGTTGCTGACCTGCTTGGCTTCCATCCCGCAGTGACGGTGGCCTCCAGCGAGCAGAACCCTGTCCTCATCATCGCGGTGGTGGCCATCGCGGGGCTGACGGTGCTGGTGTCCATGGTGATCGGCGTGATGGTCTGGAGGAGGTGAGCGGAGCTGCGGCTGAGCTGGGGCACAGGCTGGGGAGGTGTGGGGCTGGGGCAGGGGCAGTCCCGCAGGAGGGGCTCTGGGGAGCGCGTGGGAGATGGGCTGAGCCGCCTGCTGCCGCCTCGTGCCGTGGGGCCACACTCCGGTCCCGAGCGCTGCCGCTTGAGGCTTTTATAGCCAGCGAGAGACCGCTGCCCAGGTAACGGTGTGCATCTTCATTCTCGTTGCAGACAGTGTGGGTACAGCAAAGCCAGCCAGGACGGGGACGAGGAGCTGTACTTCCATTGTAAGTGACGCCTGGCCACTGCGGCCGGTATGACCGTGTGGGGATCCCTGTATTTATTGCTCCCCATACAGCAGCCCCGAGTCCTTGCTTTTGAAGTGTTGTCATCCCACGTTATCCCAGAGCAGGGGCTCGGCACAGCGTGGCTCTCCAGGGACGACGTGCTCGGCGGCTTTGTCAGCCAGTGTCCGTCCTTCCTGCGCACAGGTCACTGCCGCGCCGAAGGAAAGGGGGATGCTCTCAGCTTTCCACGGGGCATATGAGTTATTCCGTCAGCTTTACACAAACGACTGCATGAGAATACAGCTTTGTTTTCTGGGGCTACTCTTGATTAGCGAGCAGTAATAATTTTACAGACAACCGTTGTCAAAGGAAATTCAGATGTCAGGATTGACGAGTTTATTTGATTCCTGGCATATGCCTGTGAAGCGCACACATGCTCTCCTGCTCCCCGAAGCGTTTCAGAAGCAGCAGAGCCTGCGTGCTTCTCAGCTGCAGCTTGGCCGTTTCACCTGCCTTTGAAGGGCCTCGCGCTTCTGAGCTGCCCGTGGGAGTTCGCCGAAGGTTGTCTGTGCGGGGAGCGCAGCAGCCGCCCGCTCTGGGGAAGGCAAATGGAGCCGAGGTGGAAGGGAATCCTGGCGTGGTGTCACCCCTCCCTGGAGCAGTCTGGCTCTGCCATTTGCCATGCGCTGGTCCTGGACGGGCCAAGCAGCTCGTGCAAAGCATCTGTCATCCTCTTTGCCGTGCCCAGGGAGAGGAGGAGACGCGGCAGCGCTCTAGTAGGGGCCCAGCGAGCGGCAGAGCTGATGTGCTTCAGCCATTGTTTTGGCTGTTTGTTTTCAGGAGATGTGAATTGGGGTTTTGAGGAAGCCTCAGCGAGCGGGCGGCTGTGTCCCCTCCGGAGCTTTGCAGCCCCGTTCCGCACGGCTCTCCCGGACGTGCTCGCCCTGCAGCAGATGGTAGCTGCCTGTGGGAGGTATTTTGCTGCCCATGCTGCTAATCGAGGGGACCTGGAACATGGCTGTTGTTCGTGATTAAAATTGTCTCTCCTAGAGGTCTTGGGAACGGAGATGATTGGGGTACTCGAGGATTAGCGCGGGAGGCAGACAGGCCCGGTCCTGGTGGGAGCTGCACTGGAGTGAAGGAGTTGCTTTCCTTTGACCCGGAGGTTGTGGCAGTGGAGCAGAGCGATTAGGTTCTTTAAATCCCACAAGAAATTTCCTAGCGACCTAAAAACTGAGTCTTTTGCTTTGCATATAAAAAGGTGACAAGGTAGTCCTGCTGGCACACCTGAAGATGGATAACCTGTGAGAGCGCTCCCCGGGGCAGGCGGGCAGGAGCTCTGCCGAGCCTTCCTCTCACGCTCTTTGTGCCTTTCCTGCTTCCCTGCAGTTAAAGTACCGACCAGGAGGACGTACATCGACCCTGACACTTGTGAAGACCCCATGCAGGCCGTGCACCTCTTTGCCAAAGAGCTGGATAACGCTAGCATTAAAATTGAGAGGATCATCGGGACAGGCAAGTTCCTCCTCGCCGGCCCCTCTGCGGTGGGCAGTGGGGCGGTGGCCGTGCCGTGGGCTGTGCTTGTGCCCAGCCGGAGCGCTCTCCTCTCGCCCCCGCACGGGGCCACGGTGATGCCCTGAGGTTGCTGCTGCGGTCCTGCCCGAGCTGCGGTGCCGCGGGCGCGTGCCGGCTCTCCCACCGCTGCCCGCGGTCTCTGCCTGCCTCACCGGCATCTCCCAAGGCAGCTCCTCTCCCGCTGGCACCCTCAGCGCCGCGGACCTTTGCTCTTGCTCTTCCCTCGGGGAAGAGCACATCCTTGTGGTGGGGAGATGGGAGCGGGGCTGGAGAGTATTTTGTTCGGGAGCTTGATTTTGCATTCCCATTTGTTTTTCTGAGGCACTAAGTACTGCCAACCGAGGGAGGCGCGGACCAGAAAGCATCAGCAATTATCTGCATCTGGGCAGTCTGACAGCAGCATGAGAACTATTTATAAATATGTGAACTTAATGATTTATTGATTTTCATCAACTTCACTGCCTAAAACTTAAAAGCAAATTAAAATCCCCTCACTGGGCCCTAGAGCCTTAATCGCTAATGTGCGCCAGAACATGGGAAACACGATTATTCTTTGTCGTTTCTTTTCCTAAAGATAAATTCAGCTGCAGAAAAAGAAGGGGTGGAGGAGGGGAAGAGGGAAGGGCTTGCCCACCAGCTTAAAGGACAGTGTTGAAGGGAAGAGGACACTGAGGAGAAGAGGAGGTTACCTTTGTAGCTGCCGAGTGGACCATCTGAGACTAATCCCACATTCCTTTCAGAAGCACATTGGTGTTTGAAAAATCAAGAAAAATTAGTCACGAATACATTTAAATATAAGGAATTTGGGAGTGCATTCGTCTTACTGCTGACCTAACAAGAACCTGGCTTTTAAATAATTAAAGCTTTTCATAGCTACACATTTTTTGCTGTAAAGCCAATATTGGCCTTTTATGTTATGAATTTGGTAGTTCCTCTTGTGAAGTGCGTGGCTGTGCGGAGCGGGATGCTCTACCTCAAAGGCTGCAGGAACCCTCTGGCCGTGCCGCGCTCCACGAGAAGCGGACCCTGCGTGTGCTGAGCTGGAAGCAGAACGGGCCAGGCCCTGGGAGCATGGACCCGGTGGCTGGGGGTTAATCTTCTTTTTGTGAGAAAAAGTGCAATATGCACTTGAGCAGTGTGGAGAGAGTGGCTTAGAGGTGTAGGAAGAGGAAAAGAAATTCCATTGCAGTGTCACACGTTTTAGTGTCACATGCCGATGATAAATTTGTGCGAAGGGTTGTGTGTTCAGCCAAGGTGGGGGAAGATGGTGGAACAGACTCTGTGGGGAAACTTGCAGCCACAGAGCTCCGCGTGTTTCTGAGTTTATGGATTGGCAAATGCTCTGATTAACAATTTGCTTGTCTGCACAGCAAAGACGCATCACTCGTTCTACAGGAATGCACTCTATGGTCCCAAAGCAAAGAAAATATCCCCTAGAGGGAAGCTGCGAGGGGTGTCCTGCTGTGGCCGCGGGTGCTGTTTAACTCATCTCTCTGCCACGCAGGAGAGTTTGGAGAGATCTGCCGGGGATGCCTGAAGCTGCCCAGCAAGCGCGAGCTGCCGGTGGCCATCCAGACCCTGCGGGCAGGGTGCTCGGAGAAGCAGCAGCGCTCCTTCCTGGCGGAGGCGTGCACCATGGGCCAGTTTGATCACTCCAACGTCATCCGCCTGGAGGGAGTCATCACCAGAGGTAGGGGGGTCCCGGGCCGTGCCCGCGCACGGTGGAGGGTGGCTCCTGCGCAGGCAGCGTGCTTAAGCTGTTGCTTTGGAGCGATGACCTGGTGCTGGAGGTGCAATGCTGTTGCTCTCTGGAAATCGGGTGTTTCCTCATGTGTTAGTTACTTTAGCATTCTGATGATTAATAAAATGCTTACAGCTAGACTAATGAGCCCAGGTAGTAGGACTGGCTTAGCAGCAAAACTGCACTCTTAATAAAAGCAAATTGAAGTGAGGTTCTGTCAGTAAAACAGATGACTCTGACTGCTCCCGGCTCTCATGGGAGTGCGTGCACTGAACTAGTCTGCGGATGCTGTACTTAAATGGATATTCATGTAAATCCAAAGAAACGTGAGCACGCGTGCTGATTGTAACTAGCTGTTTTATTAGGTAAGGAGGCAGTTCTGTCCTGAGTCTTGGGCTGAGCTGTTGATTTTGCTTTCACCGAGTAGTGTCGTCCTCCCTTGTGTTGTGGTTCAGTGTCCTGATAAAAGGAGCATCTGATATTGGGATCCGGTGGGTTCCCAGCTGGGAACCACAGGAAAGCCTCGGACCCGCTGCTCATTGCAAACTGTCTGAGATGAGTCCTCGTCTCCCTTAATAGCCAGGCAGTGCGGGCTGACCGCGCTGGAGGTTAGCGCCTGGATTTCTCACACCTGCGGTGTTACAACTGCCCGAGCAACGGGCAGGACTCACGCAGTGCTCCTTGTCTGTCCGTGCAGGGAGCACCATGATGATAGTGATGGAGTACATGGGGAACGGTGTGCTGGACTCTTTTCTCAGGGTGAGTGCTGGGGGAGCCGGTGGTAACTGCTGGGGTCTGCCACACGCTCGGGCTCTGCTGGCGGTGCCCCCTTGAACGGGGCATTGCTCACCTTTGGCTTTTCCTCCTGTTTTTCTGCAGAAACATGAGGGACAGTTCACGGCCACCCAGCTGGTTTGCATGCTGCAGGGGATCGCCTCTGGCATGAAGTACCTGGCAGAGATGGGTTACATACATAAAAGCCTTGCTGCCCACAAAGTCCTCGTGAACAGCAGCCTGGCTTGCAAAATAACTGGTTTCAGACGGCCACAAGAAGATAAGATGGAGACCATCTTCTCCACCATGGTAAGCTGCGTGTCCGAATTCTGTTGTCAACATTCCCTGAAAGCAAAACGCTGACAGAGCAGCTACAAAGCCTCGGCAGAGGTGGATCTCCCTGTCTGCGGTGCGCGGCCGTGGCCCAGAGCGCTTGGCCGGGGCTTGGCGTCACTGGAGAGGTTTGCAGCCCTCTCTGAATGCCGAATAAAGATCGACTCCAAAGGCAGCCAGCTTCCGCAGGTGGAGTTAATAAGACACATAGCAATCTTACTCCAGAACCAGTATTTTTGCTAGGCTCCCGTTTCCTTCCTCATTTGTGAGTGCGGGCTCTGCCTCTTAGCTTCTTTCTCAGCTAGAAATCAAATGCGTTTCGCAGGGGACTGCGCAGGAGCCGTCCGGCACCGCTCTCTCAGCTGCGGCACTGCCGCGTGTCTGCGCAGACTGGCAGGGGGGCGGCGAGGGGCTGAGGCAGCTCTGGCAGCCTCGGGGCTCCTCATGTCTGTTTTATAATTTGTAATGAAATTCATGGTTTTCGATTAAGAATTTAAGTCCTGCTTGATTCACACGCACGCCACGTCAGCTCTGCTAGCCAGCGCGTCCCCTGCGTGCCTGCACGTGCGTGGCGAAGCGGCCTGGGAGCCCCTGGGTGTGGAGCGGGGGGCTGCCTCCGCACACCCTGTGCGGCCCCGCAGCCCCTCGCTGGAGCCGGCTCTCCCTCCCCGCTTCCTTCACTTCAGGGTGCATCAGTGCATTTTTGACTGCAGAACAGTAAGATGTATTTCGTTTGGTACGCTGCAGCCGCCCCGTATCAGCTGGGGCTGTTAGTCCATCACATTAACTGGGCGTTAATATCTTAAAGAGCGTTGGTTCCTCGATGAAGTGAGGACGTATTGTTTGCAGGGAGCAGGGGGCAGCGCCAGGGTGGCCACAGCTGATGTGCGCTCCCCGCGGGGACGCGGTGCCTGTGTCCCGGTGCAGGGAATGGCCGTCCCCGGGGAAGAGGCCGTTTGCAGGGTTTGGCCCACCCTCTGCCGGGAGCTGCAGTCGTGTGCCAGCTCTGAGCCGGCGGGTGGCAGAAAGAGTCCTGGAAAACTTCTTCAGCCATTATCACCCTGTAGGGAGGCTCGCTCGGTGTGCTCCGCAGGGAGAGCACCACCGACCTAAAGAGTCCCCAGCAAAGCGTGACCTCGCTGGATGCGGCAAGCCTCACCTACGGAGCCATGGCTCAACTGTGGCTGTGGCACTGCAAAGCTCTCGAGCAGAGTTGCCCTGCTCCGTTCCACCAGGCACGGAGCAGCCCGCTGAGCGAGGGGGATGGAGAGCCCGGCAGGAGCCTTGGCTTCTCCCACCGCGGTGCAGCAGGGCTGCGACTTTGGGGTCGAGATCTCCCTGCTGTTAATTGCAATTAGCTGCAGTGCCTGTCACCCGCTTCCCCTGGTGCATCCAGAGGGCTCTGCAGGTGCCGAGATGGGAGTTGCGAACTCCAGGAGAGCAAGCCGGGGTGGAGGGACTGTGTGTTTGCGCAGCTCTGAAATGGCTTTCATTAAATATTAATGTATAAAATGCCATCAGCTCTTCCCAGAGACATTCTCTTCTCCCATTAATATTTCAGGACTCTCACTCATGTAGCATACGGTTGCGTGGCCATTTTAAAACAAATTGAGGCAGAAGTTTTCTCATAGTACTAAACCTGCACATGGCACACGGGCTCGCTTGGTGTCCACCCTGCGATGCCAGGCAGGACATGACAAATGGCCACCCGGGAATAGCGTGCAACGGCTGTGCGAGCACATCTCTTCTCCCTTTCTGCCCGTCCAGTGTGGGAAGAGCCTGGTGCTGTGGTCGGCCCCCGAAGCCATCCAGTACCACCACTTCAGTCCGGCCAGTGATGTGTGGAGCTTCGGCATCGTCATGTGGGAAGTCATGTCCTACGGCGAGAGACCCTACTGGGACATGTCCAACCAGGATGTGAGTCACTGGTAGACGACGATGTTGCCGTTGCTAACAGTGTGCAGGTGGCTCTGTGGTGCACGGAGGAGCTGCTGCTGCTCCCCCGGTGGGGTGTGAGGAGGGCGGCTTGTCCTGGGGGGTTGCCTGTGGTCTGCTTCGCAGCGCCTGACCCTGTCCCCTCACCTCCTCTGCTGCTGCAGGTGATGAAGGCCGTGGAGGATGGGTTCCGCCTGCCCGCCCCGGTGAACTGCCAGCCGCCCCTCCACCAGCTCATGCTCGACTGCTGGCAGAAGGACCGCAGCCAGAGACCCAAGTTCTCGCACATACACAACATCCTGAGCAAGATGGTGCAGAGCCAGGAGCCCCCAAAGTGCCCCAGCTCCACGTGCACCAGGTGACCTCCCTCTTGCTTTGCTGCCTGTTGTTCTGCTTTCCCCACCGGTTCCCACCTCAGGCGTGCTGTGCCCTGCTCCCTCCTCACCACCCCGTTTTGTTGGCAGGTCCCACAGCACCTCCATCCCCCTCACCGAGCGTACCTTCTCAGCCTTCCCGTCTTTCAGCTCTGTAGGCGAGTGGCTGGACGCAATAGAAATGGGCAGGTACAAAGACAACTTCACCGCTGCGGGCTACTGCTACCTGGAGTCGGTGGCCAGGATGACAGCCCAGTGAGTGAACCGATTTCCCGGCTATAACCCCGTGTCGCTGGGTGCAGCATGCGTGAGCTCTGCTTGGCAGTTAGTCAGGTGTCACTAAACAGGGGGACAGATCTTCTCAAACGTGTCTGTAAGAGCTCCCTGGCGTGGGTTGGGCTGTGTGGGTTGTGCGTTTCAGTTGATGATTTTTGAAGATGAGATTTAAACCTGAAGTTTGTGACTTTAACCTCTTGTTTCTGACAAGGGTAGTGTCGCCTGTCCCTTCCAGAAAGCAGAGTCAAGTCTAACGTGAATTAGTGGTAACCCGGTACGCAGACAGCACAGGGCGGCCGCCGTCTCACACCGGGCGGGTGTCACCCCTGGGTTGCCGGTCAGGGTCCGTGTTGCTTTGGCTGGGACGACAGATTGGGCATTTCTTACTCTGGCAGGTCCACAGGAGGCTGATAGTCTGAAACCTGCACTGCCCTGGCCTGGGAGCCATTGGTGTCGGGGCACGGTGTGGTCAGGCTGGGTTTTCGTGGCTGACACGGGGCTCGTTTTGCAGAGATGTCCTCAGCCTGGGGATCACGCTGGCGGAGCACCAGAAGACCATCCTGAGCGGGATCCAGACTCTCCGGGCCCAGGTGATCCAAATGCATGGCCGAGGCGTGCAGGTGTGACGCAGCCCCCCGCAGAGGTGCGGAGCACTGACCCGGCGCCCCGGGGAGGAGGCAGCCAGCTGGCCCAAAACCGGACCAAATCTCTGAAACTTCGCGGTTTCGGGTGGGATGTAGGCATGAATCACTGGGCTGCTGCCAAACAAGTCGTTCCACGTGGCAAGAGAGCAGGGCGTCCCGTCCCCTGTGCCGGGGAAGCCAAGGATTCCTGGGACGTGTGTGGTGTGCCTGGGTGGATGTGGCTCTCCCTAGCACTGTTTTGTAAGATGATTCAAACTGTAATGATGCCATTTCATATGGTAATTAGGTTAACAGGGTGGATGGACATTTGTGCACTGTCTTAATCCAGAGCTGACAGCATTTTTGTATCTAGCATCCTACTGGTGAAATCCATGGGTACTTTTATACAAGGTGACACGTTCTAGCAACCCCACAAGGAGCTTTTATTGCTTTTATTTTTAGAGACCAGAGCGCAGCTCACACCCAGCGCCCAACTTCTGGAAGGTGACTTTCCCCATCTGCTCTGCTGAAAGGAAGCTCTTTCCCAGCCAGGTCCCTTCCGCTCCAAGAGTCACTTCACTGAGTCTTGACGCCACAGTTAGTGGAGAATATTTGGTTTTGTTCACCAAAGTGCAGAGCAAATGGTGCTGGATGTTTCTAAGGCTCTCTTGACAAGACAATTTCAGAGGAAGAAATGAAAAGCTTTGATGAAGAGACCCATAGCCAAGAAAGGGCAAGGAGCGGAGCCCTTGGGCTGCCCTGCTGATGCTCTCAGCCTTCACTGCCCTTTGTGCAGGTCCCGGTCCCTCATTTTACTGCTGGAGCCCAGAAGTGGGGTGGGAACTTATGGACCGAGGGCAAGAGCAGGCAGCGCGCTGCTGCCCACACACACACTGAGACCGCAGGCAGAGACCTGCCGCTCATGCAGGACTGATGCTAAAGCGTCTATTACTGCTTCTGCCTCTCTTCCCTGCCTCCTGCCTTGCGGGTTTGCAGGCAGTGTCCCGCATCTTGCCTTTGCTGGCTGCCCGGGCAGCTGTGATGGGCTCGGCCGCTGTCCCTGGGCTACGGAGCGAGGCAGGCAGAGCATCGCTGTGGGCTGACGCCAGACCCCGGGGACTCCCTGCTCTCAGCTGAGCTGGAGCATCCTGCTCGGAGGTGTCCGCTTCCCGTGTCCACTCTGGCAGTGTGCCTCTGGCCGCTGGAAGGGCCACCTCAGCTGCAGTGAGTGCCCTTCCCCTCCTCCTCTGGCTGCCCCGTGCCCGGTGGGGAGCGGGGAGGGGAAAGGCAGTGGCCAGCCTGGAGTGTCCTGCTCGACCGGGCCAGAGCATCAGTTCTCCACCGCAAGTTAACGGCACGGAGGTCCATGCCCGCGGGCTGCAGTGCCAGCGTGCACCACAGCACCCGCAGCCTCTGCAGCGGGGCGCACCGCGGGTCTGGGTGGCTGCGGGGGCTGTGCCGGAGGGACCGCGCACCCCAGCCAGACCTGGGCAGGACCGGCATTGCATCCGTGGGATCCCTGAGGTCCTGCGGTGCAATCCAGGCAAACCAGGGCACATCAGCACTTTATTTCGTTGCAGACGGTCGCGCAGCACTGCCTGCCTTGCACGCCGGCAGTTCCCACTGATGCAGGCCTGGTCCCTGATGGAAGACATAAATAGCATCTGCTTAATAATACAAGTTTCCTTGAAGTTAGTTAATTAAATGAGTCTTTGCAGTCTTGTACAGAGTTTTGTAGGCCTTTTATTATCATCTGTAAGTATTGCAAGTGAATTATTAATGATGAAAGGCAGAGATTTACAAAGGGGATGGATGCTGTGGGGATCCAGCTCCTGCTTAGCAAAGCCTCAGTCACAGTGGTTTCCTTCTCACCAGCCCTCGGGCTCTCCTGGCTTGGCCGCATGGCTGGGCTGGCTCCAGGGGTGCTCAAGACTGACAAGTTTTCATGTTTTTCACATATTTTTAGCTTGATTGCGTCAGAAATCAGAACTCTCTGCCTGAGCTTCACTGACCTGTCTCAGGAAGGTGCTGGCTGATACTGGTTTATCAGTTTTCCACCTTGTGCCGCTGCTCCCAGGCAGTGCCGTGGTGAGCACCGCGTGCTCACAGCGGCTCTCGGCTCCCGCAGCGCTGGCAGTGCAGGCTGGCAGAAGGGCACCGTCCCCCACACAGGTTTTGAGCTCCCGGTAGTGGATGCTTAGAGGGGTGGGAGCCGGCACAGACGAGGCTGTGCAGAGCCCGAGCCAGGAGCCCGTGCCCGGTGGGGCCGGGAGCTGCCGTCGGTCCGCGGGTGCGTGCCCGGCAGCGGGTGAGTGCTGGGCGCGCGCCGGGGAGTTTGCTGCTCTCCGGGGTAAACAAGCTCTCTCCTTCCTGCCACCTCTGCAGTTTAAGCAACATTCCCCAATGTCACCTGGTTAGTTTTTTAATGGAAATAATTTGTCTTTAAGTTTGGACCGTGTCCGGTCAGGTTGGTGACTCACCATCCTGCTGTTTCACACCCAGAGGAGTAATAATGTTGAACTGAAACCTTCATTTGGTAGAAATGCCAGATCCCAAGGATCAAGTGCAATTCGTATGCTCTTTATGTTTACATTTTATCTATAGAAAAAGCCTATTATAGTTCTCTAGGCAGAGAGTTGAACCAGCTTGATTCCGGATCCTCTCCCCCTCTCCCTGCCCTTGTCCTGCCCGCCGGGGTTTCCAGCAGCCTCCTGCGTCGGGGTGCCGGGAGCGGTGCTGGGAGGTCGCTGCTGCTGGGGCTTGCTGCAGGTTGGTGCAGCTGCTTTCAAGGAGGTCTGGGGAAATCCAGGGCTTGGTGACAAGGTGACAGAGTGCTCCAGAGTCTGGGAAACAGACCTGGCTGTGAGCAGGCAACGACATGTTCCTCTTGAACCCCCCAGAACGGACCCCGTCTCCAAAGTTAGGGATGCAAGGGGGGGCTGGCTTTGGGTGCCCCTGCGGCACAGCCGCTGGGATCTGCTGCTTTGTCCCTCTGAACATTGCTCAGCTGGAGAGGGAGAAACCTCAGCGCAGCGGCTCTGCAGTCGGCAGCTCCTCCTGTGCTGCGGGGCGCCGTGGGTCCCTGGGGAGCTGCCGCGGCCGTGCGGGCAGGGGTCCCTGCCCTCTGCAGCACAGGGCTGGCAGCCCTGCAGCCTCTTGTGCCACTTGCGTCTGTCATCCCAGTGTCATCCTGGGATGCTCGCTCGGTGCTAGAGCTCTCCAAGCAAATGTGAGACCATCTTTCAGTCATCTCTTAAGTGTTTCCCCCACTGAATTGGGCTACCGTACTACATTCTGTAGGATGATCAGAATTGAAGGCATAATTTCTTTGTTTGTGTCTCTCTCTATCTGTTCCCAAAAGAAACTCGGTGTTTTATTACTTTTCTGACTTACTCTGGTGAGGGACTCGGGTGTGGTGTTTGAGAAAGCTGTTTCTTTTGGACAGTATGGTTCTGTGGATGGGACCGTGCTCGGACTCAGCGGCAACAAAGGGCATTTGCTTTCCTCATCTCTCCTTCGAGAAAGAGAAGAAAAAGCACATAATGGAAGTACGCTTTCTAGCATTGCAACTATAAACGCTTTTAATTGAGCTTCTCATCAACACTGAAGATAATAAAATGAGCAGATTAAGTTATAGATTGCTCTTATGATTTTAAAATTAGCTTACATCCTCTCAGCACCTCTCGTTGGAGAAATATTCAATGCCTTATAATTAAATTAATTAGCGACACTGTTTTTAAGCTGCTCGACCAAGGTAAATGGTTTCAGTCTGCCCGTGCAGGCGCTGACCTGGTGCAAAGCTCCTTCCTCCCCCCGGGCTGTGGGGAAGCTCGTCGGTGCTGGGGGCTGCCCGAGTGCGCTCGGCCCCGCTGCAGCAGCGCGAGCCTTGGTGGACTTCTTCAGAGAAGAAAAAAGAACAAATGTATTGTAATGCGCAGGCTTTGCTGGAGCTAATGAGTGCAGTTACGAGTGGGTCAGATTTTAGGTGGTCCGGCAGAGCGGAGGCCGGTTATGCAGGAGAGGGGCAGAGCCCGCGGGGGTGTCTGAACACGGGCACGGACAGGACCGCGGCTGTCCTTGCGCAGAGAAGGACACGGCAGGCAGCCCTGACACCTCGGCGCGTCCCGTCGGCTGTTGGTGCCTCGCGGCTGCGCAGCAGGGCACTGTTCCCACCGTGTGCCCTCCGGAGGAGCGGTGCAGCAGCGGTGTGTGTCGGCAGCGCAGGCTGGGTGCTTCTGGGGGCAGCGACATGGACCCGGTGTCCAGCCCTGCGTCTTCAGAGCCGGTGTTTGGGCGGCCGGACAGGGCGCTTTGCTGCCATGGTACAGCAGCAGGAGACCTTCTCTTTTGGGGCTTTGCTTTGATACTCCTCCTGAGAACATCTCCACTAGATGTTCCTCTCTGCCGGTGGGAAGAGGCCCAGCATGGCCTCCCTGGGGCGGCCGGAGAGGACTTGTGCAGGACTGGCCCTTTCCCCTGAGCTCCCTCCTCTGCCGTCCCCAAATGTCCCCCCCCGGTGCCGTCGTGTTTTCCGTGAGCTCGGGAGGCCGGACCCCACCGCACGGCCGGTCTGTGCGCTGTGTCCCCCCCCCCCCCCCATGCCTGCAGGATGGGGCCCACGGGGACACGGGCCGTGTGTCCCGGCCCCGGCCATGGCCGAGGGCCTGAGGCAGCGTTGGGGGGGGAGCGATGTGCCGGAGCTGGAACTCAGGAAGGTCTGGCCGCAGCCCGGCGCGGTGCGGGCAGGACACGCGGCTGCAGGGTCGCCGGCAGCACCCCCCTCACGTGAAACCAAACTGGAATCAAGTTGGTTCATCTCCAGATGCTTTTTGATAGTCATTAACCACGTGTTATATACTGTAAATACTTACCTGAGAAGTCAATATATATTTTTATAAGCTTGAAACAAATGTCATATAATATCATAAGGGACACTGTGTGCATTTCATGTTTGAGCTATAGTCAGACATCTCCAGGGAACCACTGTTGGTTTGGAATCATTA